TATATATATATATATATATATATATATATATATATATATATATATATATATATGCTAGATTAAAAGCAAAATATATATAATTAAAAGCAAAATATATGTAATTATCATCCTAAAATATTTTTTTTTTATTTAGGGTTGATAATTCGAGATATAGTTCGATAAATCTTGAGAATGTCAACTAGCCTGATTGTTAAGTCCTTGATTGTTGATGGTAAGATCTTATTTTCATCACTCATTATTTAAAAAAAGAAACAAAATTAAAATAACTCAATATATTGCTTGTAAAAAAAATTATGGAAAGAAAATAAAAGAGGAAGATGTCATGGGAATAATGGAACAATTTAGATATATTCCTAAATTTTGATGCAGTAGATTTTAAGACTAATTACTTCATATAATTGATAAATATATAATCAATGCAATACAAAATAAAAAGGATGATTGCTATTTTTGAAAATATATTTATATTTTAAACATGTATTTTGAGAAAGAGGTTTGAGTGAATGTATAGTCCCACGTAATGCTTTAAGTGTTTAGTAAACGATAAATGAAAGTTGTATTTTAAATATGTATTGACATAAATAGTATTTGATAAAATTATATTCCAAAAGTATTATATATATATATATATTGTTTGGAAGAGACAGTTCATCCTATTGAGGTCGAGTGATTAAGGAAGACAATGCTTAACCTAAGGTTAGACGATCGGTGAGAAGAATGATCGAACTTGAGAGTGATTGAAGAGGAGATTGGCCTGACTTGATTAATTAAAAAAAAAAAGATATTAAGAGAGTGAGCTTGATTATACTAGATTAGAAGGAAGACGTATGGTGCGAGTTATCTTGAGAATGATTGAAAAATGAAATCGAGTTGAAGATGTATTGAAAATATGATTAAGTTAAAATAGTCCTCTTAAAGAGGTGATCATTTGACGATATGATTATTTCAAAGGTGACTTACATAATGGTCTGATTATCCTGATAATGTGACCAACTTGAAGAGTGATCAATTTGAAAATGTGATTAACTCGAGGAAACAAACAACAACTTAGAAGGATTGAACCATTGTCGTCTCAAGTAAGCGGGGGTATAGATATCTTTTTAATTCAAAATATATTACAATCTTTGTCACACATTACCTTTCATAACTCAACGTTAGGAAGTTACAAATGTTAAAGTTATATAAATTATTTATCTCTACATTGCTTCTTAATGTTGTCATTCTTTTTCTCCAATATAATGACTTCAACTAATATATATTGATTTATTCTTTTGAATAGTTTGAAATCATTGTGGTTTTTTGACTAAACATCCAAAGGAATCATGATAATCTTAAGTCATTGATAAATATGTGAATTATCATGGATAAGTATAAATTAACTATTTACCAATTCTCATTGTTTAACCTCATAACATAATCATACTTATCCTTACCTTATCGAATTATCCTCACCTTATTGAATGATCAACAATGTAGCTATAGACTTCTTTAAGTGTCAATTATTGATGAAGTGGAGCTTAAATTATTTTCTCATCTATCCTAGGAGAAAAAGGAGAGAGTGTCTCGGGCTTTTCTCATAGAAAACTCTAACACGTAAGGGTGTAAAAGATGGTGTATAAGATCATTTACATCATGAATATAACAATATGCTTTGAGTGGTTAGAACTTTTAATGATACTCTTCATACTTGATAGATAGAAATTCGAGGATATATGTTCCTCTCGAATCTAATGAGTGAAAGAAGGCTATCATATTATAAAGTTATCTATCCATTTCTTCTAGTTGTATGTGCATGGTAAGGCTTGTCTTGCTAGTAGAGTATGCCTTAGAGTGAAATAGAGACAGCTTAGGTTGAATTATATTAACCTTATAAGGAAGTAATTACAATGTCTAAGCAGGAGCTTGTAGCATTAAGTTGGGGCGGATGACAAACCTAGAGTTCCCTATGGTGCTTGAAATTTATTTTAATTGAAGAACTTTAGTTATTGATAAGTAGCTAATTACATATTGATGCTAATCATGTTATTTGTGAAAGAAAAAGAATGATGATCTACATAATCTCAGTCGACTTACTGGGCGAAGCCAAAAAAGACATCAATAGGAAAAGATGACTTGAGCTAGATTTCTAGTTGGAAAAGAAAAATTATAATCTCTCGAGACCTATGGATCTATTCGAAAGGGGAAAATAGAAACCCTTTGCTTGAGACCAAGTGTTATAACGAAAGTTGGAAGAAAAAAGCCTTCACTAACATATTCTTGTGAGACTTCTAATATTTTATTATCATTATCTCGAGACCGAAACTAATATAATAAGATCAAATTTAATAATCAATTTGACTTATTGAAATTGATTCGACTTGACTTATATTTTAAGTACTATTATATTTAAAAAAATATTGAGTATTCAAAACTTGAACACGGGATAAATTTTTTTAAAAGTAAAAAATGTCTGTTTCTCATGTCCCTTCTCCACTCTATTTTGAGGATAAAGGATACTTGTCTTATATTCTGCTTCCTAATAAAATTACAATTAGGGTTTGTCTAATATAACTTATTTGACAGTTAAGTAAATATACGTCTGTAAATAAGAATTTTATATATTCTATTAGTATATGATTCTCTTGTTCTTTTAGATACTCTATGTATTGATTGGAATCCTAATTGATAAAAAATGATGATCATATCAATTGCTATTATTGCTAAAACTACTATAATAATATAGAACATGATGGATAAGAGAATTTATAAGAATAAAAACATAAAAAATAATTTTTTTATTTGTGATTCCATTTTTAGTAATTTTTTTTAAAATAAGACAGACTTTACAATTATACGAACGATCAATTCTAATATTGATGTTTTGATAAATTAAATATTGTAATGCGAAGTTTCAAATATCGATCTATTGTATTTTTCACCTTAAAATTACTAAAAATTTTAGAATAATTTTAAAACTACTAATAATTAATAAATTATCGATAAAATTATTATTGTTAGAATAATCCATCACCGATTTACCAACGCTCTTTTTTATCTAAATTTTTAACGATAGATTAGTTTATTACTAGATTACCATAACTCTTTTTTTTTTATCTAATCAAGCATTTGCGATAAACTTAATTACTTTGTCACTAAGACTTTTAAGTGATAGAATAGTTCATCACCCCCATACCGTCATAAAAACAACATTTCCATCACAAGTTTGGGTTAGGGAGCTGAATCCATAGACAACTTACGTACCATATTCTTCCTTATTTTTATTATTCACCTTTTTCTTTTTCTTTCTATTTTATAATAATAATAATAATAATAATAATAATAATAATAATAATAATAATAATAATAATAATAATAATAATAATAATGATGATGATGATGATGATGATGAAGCGGTAATAACCATTGAGAGTGATTAGAAAGGAAAAGAAGAAACTGGGAAGGTAAGGAGTTGAATTAGGAGGAGCAGCATTAGGAGGAGGAGGAGAAGGAAGAGGAGGAGGAGGAGGGGCTCGTTCTATGGAATGTTTTCGCGTCCGAATGCCGTCGTTAGTGCGCAGGCTGTTTAAGAAAGAAAAGAGAGAGAGAGAGGGAGAGGAGACGAGAGCAAGGATGCAGGCGGTGGTGGCGCACGTGTACGACGTGACGAACAGCCCGTCGGCGAAGACGAACAACACCGTTACCAGGATCAACTGCATCTTCAAGGATTGCATCGGCCTCGGCGGCATCTTCCACAGCGCCATCCAGGTTCTCCTTCTCGCGCTCTTCCCCACTCCCTCTCCCTCCCCCTTTTCTTCCTTTCTTCCAACTTCGATTTTAGAGCTTTATGAGTTACGACCGAGTTCTGATGATAAAAATAAGTGAGTACAAACAAAAAAGATTGAAGCCAAGAGAAGAATGCTAGAAATCAATCATGATTTCTTGTTTGTTTGCTTGTTTGATAGTTATATTTTATTTGCTTGTTTGTTTATCATGATTTCTATGTTTTTGACAGGTTTATGGAGCTCACGAATGGTCATTCGGGTATCGGGAACGAGGGAGTGGAGTTTTCCATTGTTCACCGGGTCAAAATCAGTGTTACACCTATCGTCAAAGTATTGTTTTAGGAGAAACACACTGCTCCCAGTATGAGGTAAATAAGATTCTGAGAGAACTTATCCGAGCCTGGACTGGAGATTCATATGATCCTCTAGCCAAGAACTGCAATCATTTTTCTGATGCCTTCTGTGAGAAACTTGGTGTCCGGAAACTTCCAGGCAAGTGATGTTTCTGGAATCAATCCATCTTGCAAATTCTTTTCATCCATTGGGGTTGAACCTTGTTCATGTTTCAACCAGATGTTATGAGTGTTTGAAGTTTTCCTCTGCATGATGAGATGTTTCACCTTGGAATCAAAAGGTTGTGTAAATAACTGTAGAGAATTCTTTTTCTGTCTTTTATGTTCATGTTTACTCACAAACCGATGACTTATCGCCTCTCCAATAACTTCCCTAACACTTTATTCATGTGAGAAGAGATTGAAAAAGAGGAATCGGGTGACATATATTGAGTTTGATCCATTATAAAGAAAAGGTCCAAGATTTTTGGATTGAATTGGAATCTGACCTGTGATATATGTTAACCAACATTGCCCCTGACATTTGAAGTTTAGAGTAGTTCTTCACTTCCTTGGTTCTGCCATTTTATTCTCTAGTTACAAATGCAATTCTATACTTAGTTTGATTGACTAGATGATTCACATAGTGATCGCGATCTCTGAAATGTTGTGCAAGTGGATTTCTTGTTAAAAATTCGACTATCTGAAGTCTCTGATTTTTTTTGTTGTTGTTGTTGTAAATGCTGATTGAAGATATTTTATTTTAGAGACAAAAATAATCTGAAATTTGTTCACTTGTGTTGTTTCGTTTGTGTTCAGTGGAATCGCGACACACTCTCATGGTTTTCATGTTTGCAGGATGGGTCAATCGATTTGCCAATACCGGCAACAGTGCCATGGGAATCACACAAAGTACAGCATCTCGTGTAAGTAACTACTAACTTTTTCCTTCTTATGTGTGTTCTTAGCATCTACAATTCGGTCGTTAAGTCTTTTTATCTTTAAGTTTTTAAGCTAATACTGAAAGTTCTTATCTTTAAGTTCTCTAAAATTAGTCAAAGGTATCGGTTCTCTCTGAAGAGTTCAAATGTTTCGATCAGAATGTTGAGGGAAACCTCGGTTGTATATCTAAATGACAAAATGAGCAAACAAAGGCAGCACTCGAGAGATATTGCCAAATGATACTAACTAAATTCACCACACTCAATGCAGACTTGGTGTTTTATGGATAATTTCTTTCAACTGTAGAATTTTGATGATCTTATAAGCTTCTAAGTTCATACTTCCGAGTTCGTATTGAGCGTGCCAGTTCTACAATACTGTGTTCCAAAGTGAATTCAGCATTTACCTACATATGACTGCTAATATGTTGCTACATTTGCAGCTGAGGCAAGCAAAAGCAGAAATTGGAAGTGCCATCAAAGTGGCATCAAGATTTATCTCTGGACGAGCCTCAAATTCTCCGAGGAAACCAAAATCGCAAAGCAATCGGAATCAAGGCAGCCCTCATGATATGACTTCAAGGTTAAAACACATGATTTCCTTTTGTAGCACTTCACAGATTCCAGATGAGACCGCCGACCCTCCAAAATCATCATAGCAGTTCCAGCAGGACTCAGAACTAAAGCAGGCTGATATGGCTGTACAAGTATTGTATCTGTATGTATGAGGATGCCAATTGCCTATGCAGCAAGAACAGATTATTTTGAGCATTGTCTTATATCAAATATTTATTTTTGAATAATTATCGAGTGGTGATTTTTACATCAGAGTAGATAAAAAGAGTCGTTATCGAGTTATTCTTTTGTTCGAGAACTTGTAATTACAAAGAACAAATATGAGGTGTAATACTCAAATATGTTTACACCACTACCAAATTGGATTGATGTAATACTCACATTTTACATAGTTGTCGTGCAAAAAATGCTTTGATACAATTGATGGGCTTTCGTTGATAGTCTTTTGTACATGTCAGTCAATCACTGGTCTCATACACATTAATGCCATTCTCCTATACGTGATTGGGAGTTTACTCAGTGTGAGCTCTCTCCTTTGATATGAACTCCGATAAATCTAACCTGTGAAAATGAGAAAGAAAGAAAACAACGACATGCATTAGACCTGTATTTATCGAAGGTTGATGATGGTTCATCTGACATATTTTTATATAGATTCATGTTTCAATAAAATAATTAATTTATTTATTTGATAATCATAAATCACTGATTTAAAATATTTATATCTAAACTAATAATTAAAAGAAAAAAGATCGGCTCAAGAACCAATCATGGCCGACACAGAAACGATGAGAACGAAGAAGAACAAATGACGTTGCAAATGCTTACAGCTTCAACATCGATCCTGAAAAGGAGCAGCTTCCGCCTCTCCCTCCAGCTGCCCCTGTAGGCCACCACGACGTGAGCCACCGCCAGCGCAAACGAGCTCAAGAACAAAGCTTCGATCGCGACCATGTCTTTCCCGTCCGCCGCAAGCCGTGGCCGCCACGGCGGCGACGAAGCCGCCATGCACATGCTGACGGCCTTGAGCAGAAGGTAAGCGATCGAGAGGAGGCTACACAGCGTGGTGAAACTTAGGTACAGTCCTCGGCGCCCATCGCAAACAACATAAGCACCTGGTAATCAAACATACACAGACGCCATGGTCATGTCAAAGTTGCCGATCGGCCACCGGTTGTGCGGCTGAGTAGATCGGTGGTGGGAGGAGATCAGCGCATATATGTCATACACAGGATCAAAAGGCATCTGCCTGCGGAGACCAAAGGCAAGTCAACCAGCGAGGTCTGGAAATCGAAGCTCTTCAGCTGGGCAGAGAGCACCGAGGCGGAGATAGGAGAATTCGAGTCGGCGGAGAGCACGGCAGCCAGCGGCAGAAGCAGGTCGATGACGGCAGCAAGCAGCGGCGGGGCGACGAGGAGGAGGAGAGAAGTCAGCATGGCGAAGAGAAAGAAGATAGTCTTGGCCCATCGCCACGGCCGGCTCCATGACCACCTCACCCAGTGGGAGCCCGTCGTCATCGTCTTCCTCTCCATGCATCCAGTGGTCGATCCGTAGGACCAACAGATTAAACCGACTACGCCGGAAGCCGCGCAGAATTCGCATCAAAGAATCTGCGTTGACTCGCCAACCGCATCACGCCTTTGCCGTGTTGGCGCACTGCACGCAGCCTCCACCGATGTTTCTAAATCAACTGCGTGGGTAGGTGAAATTGCAGGGCAGATGAAAAGAACCTTCTCTCAAATCTGAGGATCACAAATCACTAGCTCGGTAGAACAGAATTCAGCAGAGAAATTAAAAGAAATAAAAGGGTTGAGGAGAGACATAAAGGTCAACCGCGTAGCTTATGGAATACTTAATCGTACGACATCACGAGCCGATAACAGAGGAGCTCATGGCCGGGAAGCCTTCTCTTTCCCCTTGCTATATTATGATGCGGGAGATGACAACATAGCACATGCCTCTTTCTTGTTCACCAAGAGATGAGGCTGTGTTTAGGGATTCAGGTAGGATTTCTAATGCTCCTTTCCTTTCCTGGAAGGAGAAGATTGATTCATGATGCACATTTAGATTCAAGGTTTCATTTGTTCAAGCTGTGAGCCATAACGACTGTGTTATAATCATATATTTAATGTAATTTCTCATGTGAATCATAGTAATATGCATATAATCATTAATTTGTATGCACACCTCATGGCTTAAAACAATACACCTGGAAAAAGAGACCAGCAACAGATACCCAAATTCACAAAAGAAGTGTAGAGCATTATAATACCAAATCAAATCATCTTCATCTTCTTACATATTGCATCACTAAAAATCATGTAGTAACCAAATGTATAAGCAATATGGTAATCAAAGCTTACTAATTAATATACATAGCACGAGGTGGACTACATTATCATATTTTCATGTTACATGGGCGTAATTAACTGCTTCCAACCACGTCAAAACTCTATAGTTGTGGAAGATCAGCAAGGTAGACACATGAAGAACTGCAAGCTGGCATCTTCACTTGGGTCTGTTGAGGGCAAGGAAAGTGCCATGATAAAGAATCTCCATTTTTGCTGCTGATGGTTGAGCTCGCAAATCTTAAACTTTGATCTTCTTGACATAAATTAGCAATATCATTTTAAACAAAAAAGAAGAAGAAGAAGAAGAAGAAACATCATCAACAGCTCTGCAGATGGATGGCCAAGAAAGACCAACAGGCATGACTTTGGGTCGTCATCGGATGTGACTTCTTCCGAGTGATCTTGCTCCAATATCACTGCCGGTGTTCTGGCCATGAAGATTTCCATTAGCACACAGTACTATTTCATTTGCAAACTACTTTTATGAAGACAAGAATATAATTAAGAGCGTCGAGGCTAAATTGAAGTCTATATCATGAGATATCTCAAGGTAAAGAAGACCCAAAGGTAATGATTCCTAGCGATGGACTTGCCATAATAAGCTTTATTTACCTGAGATTTAGGAGAAGGAAATACATTCCAAAATCTGAGGGTTTCATCACCAGCACCTGTGACAATGGTCTGCGAGATGAAAGACAGCTGATGAGCTACATCTTGCTGCCAGCAGTAGTAAAATTTAGATACGAAAGAGAAATAGTTACTTGTCCATCAGGAGAGATAGCGAGGTACAAAACCCTGTAGGTATGTCCAGTGAGTGTTGCAAGCTACAAAACAGAACATATTGTTTCAGAAAAATGACAACCTTTAGCATTGTGTTCAGTCGACATAAAACATTGGGAAGACAACAAACCTTGGACATGGTTGGGTATCGCCAAACAATTATTTGGTTTTGGGAATAACCATGGGTGCTGACAAGTTCATTAACATTCTTTGACCATACAAGATTGCAGACCTGCATAAGGGGCGATGAAAATGTTTGGTTGTTCCCAAACTATACACTCAACATGTATACAAGAACAAAAACAATCAACCAATCTCGAGAGAGAAGAAACTGTGTTTAAACTTGGAAAAAATCAGCAACATCATCAATCACTATTTCATGAGTAGTTTAACAACAACATTCATAGGAAATTGTTGCAGATTCTTAAAGATCAAAATGTCTGGTATTTCCTTGCTCTCTGTTTTGAATAGTGATTATGTTAAAGGTATATACTTTCAGGGAAAAAACAATGAAACAAATGAAAAGTCAACAAGGAAATAAAAGGGGATAAAACTAGCTCTAAGAATCCAGATAATCTGTACATAAAGTGACATCTTCTTTTTGAATCTCTCTTGAACCATTTATGGATTACCACAGATCTTCTATGCTGCCAAAATTAGAAACAAATGAATATTCCATGAAATTGATTTCATTTGCTTTCAGTATCTACACTCTTAATGTCTTAAAAGCCCCTGAAGATACACTTCTGGGAATCCCTTCCAACTGTAATCCATCAACTGTATAGAACACACCATATTCCCTGAAATTGATTTCTCAGAAGCCTACCAGTTACAGTAACGACAATTCACATTCCCTTGATAATTTTTTGATATATCTAAGAGACCAACACTAGGACCTAAGTCAGGATAGATAATGCTAAGAATAAATTCATCCAATTGAATTTTTCTTCCCACCATTTAATACTGTTATTACTTCTAACTACATTTTTTATAGGGTTTCGAGTATTTTGACTGGGCTACACGAGCTCTTTCCAAGAATTTAGTTTGTCTTGATGGGCATGTAACTAGATAATGCAAATGCCATTACATCCTTGTTATTATTTGTAATCATGTTCTTTTTGTCCTTCCACTCCCTCTCCTGGCACCTTGTGCTGAGGATGTAGAGGAGCCTTGAGGATGCATTTTGATTTCTCTGGGCATTCCAAAACCAGATCGACAACTTCTATATTCTCAATAGGCATTGCCTCTAACTTTATGCAAATGTGATCCTTTTATGCTTCTACCGTTCTCGATACTATAAGACATGCATCTACATGTGAATTCTGCTACACTATTTTAGATATGCTATAATCTAAAGAATTATCAACTTCAAAACTACGGTTGAAATTTGAACTGAAACAAACACAAGCAAATCATGCCTATTAAACTTATCATGTGAATAAGACAGATTTGAAACTCTTACAGAAGTTAAAGCTAGGGCATAATGTCTGAAACACAAACTATGATCTAGAGTTACCATCAGAAAACAACCAGAAACAACAGAGAAGATGCATGGTGGGAAGACAGTCCTTATGTTCCATGTTAATCTCAGCTATTCTTGTAAGCTGGTCCTCAAATAATCATTACGAATTAACTATTTAGAATCAGAAACAATTTTTTGGATATGACATGATACTTATCACACATGCGGAAATTTGTCGTTTGTCTTGTACAAGTGCAAGAAATAGTCAAAAAACATCCAAATAGTAGCAGGTGTTAAATGGTGAAAAGATACCTGGCTTCCAGTGTCAATACAGCTTAAGTGAGAGTTGGTGACAGTGTTCCAGAACCGAATACATCGATCTGCAGTTCCTCCACCTGATGCTAGAAGTCCATGTACATGCGGTGACCAAGCAATTGCTTTTACCGCTGCAGTATGCTCAGAATACTTCAATACTGGCTGTGTTGAATGTTGATTCCACACAAAAAGCTGACATGAGAAAAGGTGAGAAGGTTACTTTTGGAATGTATATAGACTTGTTGTCAGGAGTAAATAAATCATAAACCAACATTTACAAAAAATAACAAAGAAACACAACTTACTCTATTGTCATTTCCACCAGATGCAAGCTCACGATTATCATGAGACCACTTCAATCCACAAACCTTTGAAGATAAATCAGCATAAGAACACACAAAAGAAAACATAGGAGGGCGATATATTTTGTAAAGTTATTTAAAAAAATTATATTAGGAAAGAGTCAGAAATTATCTAAAACATAAAGATCTTTGAAGAGATTAAAAATTTTGATGCTCAAGACCAAGAGGCACTCCATAGAGAAAATTCTCTCGGTCATTGTTTAAATAAATTACCTCTGATTTGTGCCCTGTCAGCTTGCTAACAAAATCTTCTTGGGCACGAATATCACGTTGAAGAATTATCTTGTCTCTACTACCTGAAGACAACAATGATGAACTCCATGCAAGAGCTCCAACTCGCAACCGATGGCTCTCCATTGTCCTTATCCTCCGACAACGAGATGCATCCCATATCTATATCAAATAATAGATAAAGGTTACAAACATTATGATGTCACCCTTAGGCGTGGATCACACAAATTGAAAAGATACCTTCAGCTATAAACATACAAAAGAGAAAACTGTAAGTTAACTTACATTCTGAGTCGAACAAAAAAAAATAGAAAACCATACAAATATTACCAAAATAAACATCACAAATTATGTTTACTTTCATGACAAAATGATATTGGAACACCTATGAACAATATTATAAGTACCAACCACATGAACACTTTGTTCAAGAGTAAATTTAAGAAACAAAAGAAATAGGTGCATTTAGGATAATTACTATAAAATGCATCTGGAATAAATGAAGCAAACATAATGTAGCAGTTAGACAGCTCCCCTACTAGCTTTAAGTTAGCTGTTGCTTGGTAAAGGATAAACCATTTGCTTCAGAACCATGTCATATAACAACCATATGAAATTTGCAAGCCAAATATATACACACATCTCCCATAAAATTATATCAGACCGGACAGATGCGTGTTAGGTTATACCAAGAAAGCTAATGAGTACTAGCCGTTCTTGTATTATGCAGTTACTATATACTAAGCAAATATGATAATCCCATATAACTTCAAAAGCTGGCACATATTAAGGTTCCATTGTCAAGAATAGAAATGAGATAATTATTTTAGGATATGGGACTAATAGCAGCTTACTTGCTTTGGCAACCATATAGATAGAATGTAAATTGTATGCACCGATGAAATAGCAATGCCCTCAAGGAATATGATAATTTCAAATAGTGAAGATGTTTACCAGCCTTTTAAGAAAAACCAGAGTAACAATTGTCCTACTCAAAAACATGATTAACAATACATTGAATGTAATCACCCTACTCATATGCTACAATGAAAATATGATCACCCTCATTCTTGCTAAATCAGGTCAGGCAATTACACGAGTACCTGAACTTTCCCCTGGTTTGTTCCAACAGCCAAGTGATTTCCACGCTGTGCCCATCCAACAGAGCATACGCTGTCATCCACGCCCAAGTCACAGAGCTTGGTAACCTGCCGTGATAACCACACAGAACAAAAGAATTATAAATCAGACTTAATTAACGGTGACGTCGCAAGAATGCCAAGAGAAGAAACAGCATAAAAATCTTACCTTGCTACTGCAGGCATTCCAAAGATACACGCAATTACCCAAGCCAACAGCCAACACATTGTGTGAAGACCAGTCGACGAGGTTCAAGTAGAAATCGTCTTGCAATGCCGGAGCATCCAGCACCTAAAAACCAACAGTAAACAATTTCATCCAAATACAATCTTTCTCGAACGGAATAGCCAACCCTGTCAAATCCAAGCAAGGAAAATACCCACCTTGTAAGGTGATCGCGGCACCTTCCTCGGCGCCCGCGGGTGAATATGCGAGAACCCGGGAAGCTCATCCTCAAACTGCTCTGCAAGGGAGTACCGGCGCACCTCAGCCTTGTACCTAAAAATATTCCTACTAGGGGTCCAAAAGGCCACAGAGGACGAGGTGGATGAGGAGGAAGAAGGGCTTCTCCCGGCCACCGCAGACGACGATCGGTCGGGCGTGGCCGGAGGCGCAACGCCCTGATCCGGCCCAAAGAGGACAGCCCTAAGCAGGGCCGCATAGGCGCCGGATCCGTCTTCCCTACCAGCGTCCGAGGAGGAGGAGGAGGAGGCGGAGGGCGGGAGGGAGAGGTCGAAGAGAGCGAAGTTGGATCCTGCGCGGCTGGGGATGAATCGGTCGCTATAGATGGTGCGCGAGGAGGAGGAGGAGTGGGCAAGGGGGCGGGAGGGGGTCTCGACGAGGTAGGAGGGCCGGGAGATCGAGGACGGTGGCCGGGGCTTGGAGAAAGGAGAACGAGGGTTCTCCACAGGCGGCGGCGATGAGAAGGCGAAGGCCGGAGACGAGGCGGCGGCGGGGGAAGCGGACGAGGCGTCCATCGCAAAGGAAGGGACCACAGGAAGCCTGTGGAGCTGTTTCTTGCCTTTATTGATACTACCACCAACCGCCCCCGCGAAACACACCCCCTCCTCTCCTGCTCCTGCGCTTCGTGATGTAATATGCATGTATCATCAATAATAATCACTTTTAACCTCTCCCCACCCTCTGGTATCAGCGATCGATACCTCGACTTCACCGACGATTTCCCACGACGGACCGCACATCAAAAAAGCGCAACGTCCGGATCCAACACTCCCTCCACTCGATGGACGACACGTCAGTACTCGTATATTGAATCGTCGCGCTGGTTCGTGAATCAGCGTTCTGTTTCCTTTTCGGGGCCTCACATGGGCCAGTGGGAGACGGATGGCACGTGGTGATCCGGATCCGACCTGATCCAAGGGGAAGAATTTAAGTAAGCTTCCTCAGCCCAGATCTCGGTTACCGACGAACATACCCGTGTGATCGTTGGTCATATCGCACGGGTAAACGAGGGTACAGTGTGTGGGAGATCCAGCTTTGATCTCGCCAACCTGGGTCGGATTCGGGCGGGCTCATCGAGCCACATGCGGACCTGACTCCGAATGTGGAAGGATTGATCTACCTGCATGCAGAATTGAATTGTCACAACTTCAGATTCACCAGTGTTTACAATGGAGGAGGCTTCATGCATTAGCCAAACCACAGTCTGCTAAGCTGTGTTACAGTTTCGTATGTATGCAATGTACACAACGCAAGACTCGATAAACACAAGGGAACAGTTAGTTAACTGTGTCTTGATGAGATTACAGCGGAGGACCGAAGCGGACGCATCCATGAGCAGGTGTTACAGGTGAAAGCACTCGTAGCAGTGAGTACAGTGGAAGATGACAAGCTATGAGGAAGCTGACAAATGAACCTCCACCGTCACAAAGATCGCTCTTTCTCCTTCAACGTCCACCGTCTCCTTTCCTCACGCAGCGACGACCGAGGTGGCGATGGAAGAGAAGGCACCCACCGTGGTGGTGGAGAACATGGACTCGTGTGTGTATATATACATATATACCGCTGCTTTAAGTATTATTCTCTCAGGTGCCAAAGAAACTCGCCAAGCATCAGTATATATATACCGCTGTTTCTACAAATATCTTTCCCTGGCGTTTCTATTGTTTCAAGAATCTCTCGAAGAAAAAAAAAAGGAATAAGATGGAAATGAAAAGTAACTAGTAATTGTGTAATCTTCTTATTTCTAATTTTCTTTCAATATTTTAAGCATCCATTATATTTATAGAACTATTTTAGGAGTGAGTGACAAATTTATGAGACGAAGTAAATATTTTTTATTATTTATTAGGAAATAACAAATACTAAAAAGTATTAAACGGAATCAATTCATCTCGCTAGAGGATTTTCTTTCAAGTGTTTAGGTCCATATCACCTTCTTGAAATATGCTGAAAGATTACTATTTTGATCTTAAAAATATTAAATAATATCAATGATTTTATTTTGTTTTATTTATTCAGCCCCCCTAGAGGCCAAATAGTGCACATCACCTTCTTGCAAGCTAACTATTTTGACCTCTCCGGCTAAGTCCAAAATGTCATGAAACAACCAAGAAACCATGGTGCAACATTAACATTGTTGATAGCCATCATGCATACTGTGTATTGCTAATTATACATCATCCTGTTTTATACCGCTATTTATAGTTTTATTCTACAAAGTTACGTATAGTTTGGTCCATCACATGCATTGTGTTTCTACAAGTATAACCTAAATGACTAAGGAACAAAACGACGTAGCTGCACTGTCTCTTTCCCCCGGCATTTGTGTTGTTTCAAGATTCTTTCTAAGCCAAAAATAAAAATAACAAGAAAAGTAGATGGGCATGAAAACATGAAATGAGTAAATCTAATAGAATGATTGACTCATTAATTTAAAATACTTAACTGTAAATTAATAATCATATAATATATTTTTTCGACTTGTGACGTGCGACATATCAGTAGTACTGTTACGTGCGCTACGTGTGGTCAAAACGTGGAAGAGAGGCGGCGAAGAAAGGCGATGCCAGTTGGAGGCAGCAACCTCAAGGCGAGACGGATGGATGCTTTGGTCCCGGAAATGATGCGTAAGGAGAAAAAGGAAAGCCCGACAACCTAAACTCACCACAAATATGGCAAAAAAACTGACCACAACACGAGAAAAGCAAGCGGAATAAGAGAACAGGACGACACAGCTTTACAAGAAAGAAAGATGCCGATACTCGTTTAAACATCAACAACGATACCACAGGTGAGGACAAAGGTGTCACTGCGAACCCAAACGCGAGCGAGCGAGCGAGAGAGAGAGAGAGAGGGGTTTTAAATCAGTGGGCGAGGAGGAGGAGAGAGAGAGCACCAGCGACGTTACTGCTTGCCTGACAATTCTCTCAATGCTTGTTGGGTATGGCTGGAGAAAGAGACAAACTTCTTTTTTCCACCACCACAATGGCAACGCTGCAACAACTCCTACGTGGGTTGCAACAATTGGATTGATCCCTTCCATCGCTTCGAGCTTTCACTACTTTAGATTATCCCATCTCCTTTTATTTCTATCGGGTGGCTTGTCAATGGGGCAAGAAGGGGTGGTTCCTGTGCCCTCGGAAAGGGGTAGGTGCCGCCAGCCTTTGTTGTTGTTCTTCTTCTTGCTATTTCCGCAGAGATCCGTCAATTCCCTCTCTGTGACTCCTTATTGTTTGGTTCTTCTGTTGCCTAAACTAGAGCATCTGCTTCATCTCAGACACACCGAAAGAGGGAGAGAAGAAACGACGTCAATCGTCATGGTGAAGGGGAAGAGGGTGATACAGCGGATAGAGAACGCGGCGAGCCGGCAGGCGACCTTCTCCAAGCGGAGAAACGGGCTGGCGAAGAAGGCCTTGGAGCTTTCCGTGCTCTGTGATGCCGAGGTCGCCCTCATCATCTTCTCTTCTCAGGGAAAACTCCACGACTTCTCCAGCTCCAGGTTCTCTTTCTGCATACACTAATTCCCCTCTCCTCCTCTCACTCTCTATCTATCCGTCTATCTATATAATCGAAAAGGATGAAAGAAACCTAATACAAGTAGCCACATAAATCATCATCTGTCAGCAGCGGCTTCTTCCCGTGTCTGTGATCATTTGACACAGCTGCAGATCCTTAGGAGATAAATTATTGACATTATCTATACGGATGATGACCTGAAAACTACAAGGATCGATCTCCACTCAGAAACGTTCCTTGCATCCTTGCGCCATAATCTCCAGCTTTTTCCTTCTCCTACTCCTCTTCTTTTCTAAGCAAATCCTTGTGATTCAGTTTGCTTTGGACTGCTGAAATGGGGCTCCGAGTGTGAATCCATCATTTTTTTCTGTGGCCATAACAAGTATTTGTAGATTTCTACAACAAATTAATGTCAGGTAAACAAAAGAGAAGGAAAGGTAAGGAACTCAAATCCATGAATCAGCAGTCCGCACCAAATTCATGCAATTGGTTCCCTTTCATCCCCTCGTTTACTCAATTTTTGCTGCATAAACATTTTGTTTCTTTTCTCCTTCTCAACATAGAATTCATAGCATAATGAATGGAAGACTCTCTAGCTAAAACATATGGTAGAATTTACTGCAGGCAGTACACGTTCGGTTAGCTATCATTTATATGCATGTCCCACTCAATTACAATTAGGTAAAAGCTATTACCAATGTTAGAACAAGATTATGATACTTGATTAGAACAAGATTATGAGTACTTGATTATTATTTTTAATTAAGTGAGATTATTATGCATACATTGCTCGAATACGTCGGAATTAAGTTCTTTTCTTCAATATCGATGGCGAGGATTGATCAATAAAGGGCATTTGTATGTTCATGAACACATTGCATGATGCTTGGCTTGTGTTTTGGATGTCTTGTCCATGGAATGTTTAGCTAAAACCAACCAAAGTGCTTCTTGACTTGAAACATGAGGTAAAGGTAAGAATTATGATATCTAGATGGTGAACTAGACATTGACACCTCGTAATTACAATCCACATTAAAATGACTATAGCTCTCATCACGCCTCTGTTGCTCCAAAAATTTCCTTACTCTGGCTTAGCTCCACAAATCCTATACGCTTCGACACAACACGACTTAATATTAATCCACTTATCATGAAGTCTTTCATATTATTATATTTTTTACTAAATTGTTGCCCAAAAAAAAAGCTTTGGTGAGAGTAGTATTGCTCCATTAATGACTAAAGCTGTTATCTTTATGTGGAGAGTAAAACTATGTACAAGGCTGCTTCTTTATTACTAAAATTCATGCATTTGAAATATCATTCATTTTAAATATAGTTTTGTAAAGCGCACTTATGGTGAATTATGTTTAAGAACTTCAACTGTGAGCTAGTTTAGCTTGTAAAGATGTCAACCATTAATACTAATAGTCATTCTTAAGAGTTCTTTGTGACTTCACTGTCATTGTTAAAAACTAATATGCTTTTGTCTTATGTTTTGGATCTTCAGTGTGCTTGAAACAATCAAGCGTTATAGAGCACATTCAAGGGAAGACACCATTAGCATATCAATGGAACATGACATCGAGGTGCAGCATTCCTTTGTAGACCTACAAAGCCATTTTTTCCCTTTTTTTTCATTTGAGATTATTTCTCAGGTGAATTTTAAAGTAAAATTGAAGCATGAGACTGATATTTTTACATAAGCTGATTTCTCGATGATCAAGAAAGTCGATAATTCAATTGGTGCTTTATTGCTTAAAAATAATGTCAATTGTGTAGTTTAGACATCACATTAAGTTAGATTTGGTTATTGGAAAAAATATCTTATATTTGACTTTTTATCTTTTATATCTTAATGAATTCGTTAAAGCATTTTGGTTTCCATCAATGTAAAAGAAGAGAATTTCGATAACTTAATATCTCTATCGGGAGTATTAAACTGTAACATGATATTGAAGTAGAGGCCAATTTTTTAGCGATAGTTTGCCATATTGATAGTTTTTAAGTATTCGATGAAAAGACAGTAAAAAATTATATATGGAGAGAGAGAGAGAGAGAGAGAGAGAGACTATACATGCATTTTGTCATATTGGTTATCTTGCTATGTTCGAAGAGTTAACTGTGTGAATTTGAAGGAACTGAAACATGAAGAAGCATGCATGTCAAAGAAGATGGAACTTCTGGAAGCTTCAAAACAGTGAGTTCTAGTGCGATATTCTGCTCTTTTTCTATTTTATTTACATTTTTTTCCCAATAGATGGAAGAATTTCATGTGAATAAAGCTGAGAACTGGAGAAATATGTTGATCCAGGAAGCTCTTGGGCAAAAATCTTGAGTCATGTTCGTTCGAAGAACTGCATGAGTTAGAAGGCCAGATAGAACAAGGCTTACGCGACATCAGAGTTAGGAAGGCAAGTCAATAGCAGAAACTACATTCTTTGTTAGATTTGTCGACAAGCTACATGCTTACCATTTACAAACTTCAGTATCATTTGCTACAAGAGCGGATAGCACAGCTCAAAGAGAAGGTAGATCACTTGAGCACTGCTGCACTCTCGTTTTTATCCAAATCCTTAGCTAAGACTACTGAATCACTTTGTTCAGGAGTGTTCCTTAATCAAGGAGAACACACTACTGCGTAACGAGGTATGCATTTCTGATTGCATAGTTTGGCAAAACAACTTCATTTACGTTGTTGGCAAATCAACAGAGCAATTGAACTCCACATAATTTGGAATCTTTTAGTGTCTGAAGTCCATGGGACTGCCTCACTCACCATTTACTGCTTCAAAGGAAGTTCTATCACACAGCAGACTTGTTCAAGACACCGATGTAGAGACACAGTTGTGCATTGGATGGCCTGGAAGAGGAAGGACCCGTGACAACAGGTGATTGATTTCTTGGCAATCCTCCAATTTCCGTGGAGATCAAAGGTACTGTATGCAGATTATTCAAGGGTACAGTCCTAACATATGGATATCACAGTCGCTTATTAGCCTTAATATTCTCAGTTGATGAAGACCATATTCGCCTTAATCTTTATAGCTTTGATGCAGTCACACTCTCACTATTCTTCCTTCCTCTTCTTCTCAATCAAACCTTAGCCAAAAACCTCGCACCACATCACAATGCAACACTGCACAAGGAGAGAGCATCGTTAGCAACAGGACTGCCACGGCTCTCTCTCCACCACTGCAGCATTCAAGTGCAAGAGTATTAATTACTGACAGAATCTATATTTTATTGTATGGTACCACGGTCAGGCTGCTGCCGAGCAAAGAAACACAAACGCATGTTGCTCCTGTTCTTTTCTCGAGAACGATTGACTGGTTAATCTTGGTGTCATGGTGGAGAGACATAGACATGGATTCGCTGAGGTTGTCTCAAGTAACGGCAACACATGGTAGACAATAATATCTATCATGCAGGAACTGCTAATTGGCAAAAGGAAACTTGTGTTGGAGAAACTTGAACTGAGAGCTGACCGAGAGCAGGTTCATTGCCTGAGCTTTGTCTGGTCTGTCACGAGAGCGAATCTTAGTACAAGCTAACGCGAGCAGTTAATTTATGCTGCATAAGGTTAACTAAGTTGTCCACGCTACAACGACTGACTACACTCTTCTCAGTGTAATAGCTAAAGAGTCATGGAGACAATGGCCCATATAGATCGAGCAGCAATAATGTATGACAACCGTGCTTTCCATCATCAGTAATTGTGTAAAGCTCAGGAAGCCATAAGTTTAAACGAGCTTTACCGATACTTTGTTTCCGCTTCTCGCGAACAAAAGATTGTGCTGAGTAACTATCTGACTGCCCATTGACCCAACATATCGGACATCCTTAGTTTCCTATTAATCTCCTCCACCGAAATAATCTGTCACTATAATCCCACTACAATAATGTCTTTGCTTCTAAGCAATAGACGAAGCGTCGCCCTCATGATCTTTCCCTCTCATCCGTATCCACCGGCTGTTTCCAGCACCCGCCGCCAGCCAGAGAACCCAAATATTGGCTGTGGGAATCAAAGTGGAACAATGCAACGTAATTAATGCAGCATGAGAACTAGCAACAGTTACGAGAGACAACCGCGATCTAAACACAGTTCCATAAAATAAAAATATTCATTGAATTAAAAGGAAGAATGCATAGTACTATGGTTTTCTCTAAATACTGACTCTAATATTTGAAGCCAGATATCTCGACAGCTACTGCCCTTGGTCCCAAAACATTCGGTAGCGAGGGGAAAACGAAAGCTGAACAACCTAAAATGATCACATAAATGGAAAAACAAGTCTGCAAGATTTGGAGGAAGCATTTACGAGCAGCAGAGACGGCCGGGTGCGATGTTTTCTTTTGCCAGTGGATCCGTCGCGTCGTCGGCTGTGTCAAAAAAAGCAGGAGGAAGAGGACGCCACGTGACGGGCGGCGATCGCGATGATCCCCTCCGGACGACTACGTGCCCTCATCTGGTCCGCGTGACGTACGGATGCGTACGGGTGGGGAAACCCCCACCGGGGAGCGGGGTTTTCCTGTCCCGTCCCAGCGAGGGAACAGGGTTCCCAAAACCCCACGGCGGGGCGGGTTCCAGGTGGAAGGCGGGATGCCTCCCGTGGACCCCACTCGATTCACGAGAGCCGAGACAGCGTTTCCTGTCCGGTCCCCAAGAACATGACGCCGCTGGTCCCGAGACGGTGCGTCGGCCGAGCGGTCAAGCACGAGAGCAACGTGCAACAGTGTCAATTCATCTGGGGCCCAGAGCCGGTAGCCAATGAAAGGAAACCATTTCCCTGTTCGGTCATTAGGGAGAAACACAAGATCCCTCCAGAAAAGCCACGGGGACCGCGACAGCAACGAGCAATCATGTGCGACCCAACTGACAACCTCGCTCGACGCTAAATTGCGAATTTAAAGCCTCTTCCCAAGATAATTTCTTAGATTACTATCGACTCCCGCAGAAAAGCTGATCCGTTCCTTGGATTTTTGCTGACACCCTACACCGGGCGGAAAAAGAAAGGAGGATGGAAGCGATCGATGCTCTTTCTTGGGTCCACCCTCCGACCCCGCTTCTTGCATTTTTCTTTATTAGGATCGTCGAAGGGCAGGGAAAGGGGGTGGACCTTCTGATTCCTAGTCGCCGTTCGTTCCCCCGGAGAAGAACAAGAAGATACCCTTTTCCACGGTGACACCATCTGCCTTGCCTGTGTTGTCGATACCCTTTCTTGTCATCTTGGATCATCATCTGACATCCATCGATACTGTTGTTGTTGTTGTTGTGGTCGGTGTTGTTTGCTTCGGCTCGGGTAGGAAGAGAGAGAGGGGAATCATCGATCCTAATGGTGAGGGGGAAGACGGAGATGAAGCGGATAGAGAACGCAGCGAGCCGGCAGGTCACCTTCTCGAAGCGGAGGAACGGGCTGCTGAAGAAGGCCTTCGAGCTGTCGGTGCTTTGCGATGTCGAGATCGGACTCATCGTCTTCTCTCCCCGGGGGAAGCTCTACGAGTTCTCCAGCTCTAGGTGCCATTAACCTGCTCCCTCATCTCTCTCTCTCTCTCTCTCTCTCTCTCTCTCTCTCTCTCTCTTTATCTTTGACGCATACTTGAGCTTTTTCTTTGACGGTCTTCTTGATTATTAACAAGCCAAAATATGAAATAGATTCCATGCCACACAAATTGTGGATCAGATGTTCTCTCTTCTCTCTCTCTCTCTGCGTCCTCCTGAAGGATGTATGTTTTCTAGTCAATGCGTTTCAGAATTTGAGATCTGCTATATAAATCTTTGTACTAAGCTGCTGATTCCTTCGTCCTCCCATTTTGATTACCTAAAAATTTCTTTTCCGTTCTGTCTCCTACCGGTGCACTTCTCGTTTGATCGTTTCTAATCTTTACAGATCCAGATTCTTACCATCTTTCTCTTCTTTTACCTCAATTTGTCTTGCATCAGTGGTGGAATGAGGTCATTCATGTCTTCCTTAAAGTGAGAAACGGGCAAGTTTTTTACTTGATTAACGTACATACGTCTGTCCTATTTCTTCCGTATGAGTGCAACTTTTTTTTCGGTTGGATCTTTGTGTTTCCCTTTGACAAAGGCTTTATATATTAACATACTTATAAATGGAATTTACATAGCAACGTTAGCCAGACAAATTACAGCAAGCTAAAATGGCATGAGTGGTATGGAAACATTGTTACATGTGGAAAGATAGGGAAAATAATGACAATTGTCACTCTACCAGTCATTCTTTTGCATTCTAGTGGAGGAAATGTCCCATCAAGATTATACTTCTCCTGCATATTTTTGTCTCTCTTCTCTCCCTTGGCATAATAGAAACACATACTTCTTTCATTTCAGAGATTCTAACTTTATAGGGATAAAGATTTCTGATATATACATATACACTTTCTAAATAGCTTATGCACATTTATATCGCTCGTAATATGATTGAAGCCAGTGATCATAAAATAAAAATATTCTCACGAATACAGTTTGAATATTTAATTAGTTGTATGATTTGTTTGATTTCTTTCATGTCGCCCAAATTCTAGTACGATCTCCTCCCTAATGTTGGCATATGCCTTATATAACACAGTTCATGTTTATTATGCTGTGGAAGTGAGATATCATAGAAACACTTATCATACAAGTCCTTAAAGTCACTTGAAGCTTCCATGATGACAGATATTGGAAGCAGACATTCACATTAGAACCAATGCCGTGCGTTCCTAATCATAAGTTGGCATTCATATGAATCATTTTGGTTTATGTAGATAACATGGATATATATATTTGAGCTGCTAATGGGCTATCTATCTATCTATATGCTAACTCTCATGATGTTGTACTATGATGTTTCGGTTTTAGATAGTGTAATAGTCAATTATAGGTGCTCCAATATATTTGGAATTATTTTTTGCTTGAATTGATATGCATTGTTTACTCAGTGAAAGAATCTTCCTTGTTCTTTACATTAAGGTTCAAAATTGTCTAGTTTTACGGGATGAAAACAAATGTAGGTGAATATGAGACATGGGATGAGAGTTTGTTTTTAGGTTGATTATACAATGTATCATTTGAAAATGAGAAGCAAAGTCATCAAGCATGGGGCTAAAAACTAGGTTTTTTAGAACAGATCATTGCTCTTTGAACAAATTGATATGATGTGTGTGTAACATTATAAGTCAGATATAGAAGAGACTTATTCTAGAATTCATGCATCTCTGAATCTTGGAAAATAAGCAAAACTAGATTATTTTTCAAGCTCAACCAATAAAAATTTGAGTCAAATTTATGATATACAGCTAAGTTGATTGACACTCTAACTAGAGCTAAGCTCATGGTTAGCTCAATTATTTCCAAGACAAATAGAAGTGGAAACCAAATTAAGATCTAAAAGTTTACACCATATTTATTTGCTGATGGACTAAAGTTTCAGTCAGGATAAGAAGTTGTGTTTTAGTTATGCTGTGTCATTGTTGTTGCATGCTTAATGTTTTCGATTCAGGTAATGTTTTTAACCTGTCTTGATAAGTGGCACAACCGATATGCCGGTGTTATTATAGAGATAATATATTGAATCACCCCATCCTGATAATACAGAGCATATCGATTTTTGTTGCTAGTATTAAATATTTATTTATGCATATACATTTTTGAAGATGATGAGTTGATGCAAATTATGCTGTGGTCTAAATAAGTGATGTCAGTAAATCTTAGTTCTACTAGAAAATCTATATTTCATTATCCTCAATGGAGACTCCATAATGCTTCAGCTAAATCACCACAACTTTTATTGTACAGATCCTTAATTTTTATCTACCTCTATCTGCCCTTTGCATTACTTTCTTAAGATAATCTTGGGATCTTAACAACTTTTAATGTCTGATTTAATTCAACATCCTTGATATCAGGTTTAGCTTTTAGTATGTACTTCAGCTAATTTGTGTCATTAAACTTTATTCTGTCAGAACCAAATAGAATCTGTTTACACAAATGAGAGAGAGAGAGAGAGAGAGAGAGAGGTGGCAACTACGAAAGAAGAGAAAGCACTGAAGGAGAACATAAGAAGTGAAGGAATAGAGGATAGGCACAAAAAGATAGTGTTCATACACATGTAGCTGTGAAGATGACTAGATAAAGCCAACCCTATTGCTATCTCACCAATAGAGGAAACATATGAAGCTACAGTTAGTTTGCAGATAACGTGGACAAGATTGGATTAGCGCAACCTTAGCAGAAATAATTTTGTGGTTCTCTTTTAATTCATCTCACACATTCATACAGGAATGTTCTCATAATATCTGATCTTATTCATGCAAAGCTCAATTGTCTCCTGTTTTAGTTCATCTCACACATTCGGCATATGAATATTCTCTTAAGATCTCCCTCTATTAATGTGTGCCTCAATTGTTTCCTCTTTTAATTCATCTTACACACACATGAATGTTCTCTTAAGGTCCCTTCATGCATGGCTAAGTTGCCTCCTCCACATTCATGTATGTTCTCTGCGTACATGATGGAAATTCTTCAGTAATGATACATGTAATCTGAGCATGAATGAAATGAATGAAGCGCATGGACAACCTCTTGTTACTCGTTTACCAACAAAAACTAGTATGAGCATCTTTCAAAGAGCAATGACTGACCCTTCAACAAGACAGAAATCACAATACTTCTATTAAACACACTGGTTGTAAGATCATAACAATTGAAGCTAGAAAGAAAGATCAAATGTTTTTTCACCTATAAATATTAGTTCAAAAAGAAGTTATATTGTGCACCTTTCGCGGTGTTGACAGTGTGAGAAGACTAGTAAGTTAGAACCAAAGGATATATCTTCTTATGGTCACAACATCATTTATATCAGTGCCTATATCTTCTTCTTAGTGTTGATTGCTTGCCAAAGGAAGACAAGCAACCAAGAAATTTTCTCAGCATATATAGCTCATCTATTACCTTAAGGATACAAGTATTATTGAAAGTTTTAGGAGCTCAAATAATTGATAAAAGAACAGAAATTAGAATATAGAACATAAAAATGTGCCAATATGAAAGTTTTTATTGATCACCATTGTGAAAAAAAAAATTAAGTAGGGGGCTTATCTGAAAAACAAATTAAAATTGGAGGCTTCTGTTGGAAGAAAATAGATCGAAATTATATGTTGTATACTAATTTATGAAAAATAGTAGGCACTATCCAAGTTATGTAGGACAACTACAAAAAATGGTTATTGAAATGTTCATAAAAGAAATATAAATAAGTCAAGAAAAACTTAGATATAAGAAAAGATTAGTTGGTAGAAAATATACAGAAATTACATGAACACTAAATAGTTCCTTTTAGAAATAACAAAGAAAGACTTGATTGGATGAATGATGTAGTCCTGTACTAAGAACAAAACTGTTGAGGGAGAGAAAAGACACTGAACAATAGATGAAAGGAAAAGAAAACCTATGTCTTTGTCATTTATCACTGAACATTATTGCTATGTATTCTAAGAAAAACAACCAAGAAGAAAAACTGATGACTTGCACTCTAAGATATTATTTTCATTGATAAACTTTTATGTCTTTATAATTTAGTATTATAAAATTCTCTAAATATGTTGATTAGTTTAGCTAGTAAAGTATTGATTATTATATAATAGTATGGTATTTGATACCATTGAAATCATTTCTTTTCAAGATTTTATTAGTTATTCTATAAAATTAAGGTAATCCACTTTTATAATGTAAACATCTCTATTATTTTCTTAATTTTAAAAGACTGATATGGTACACATCTCATGCATCAAAATATTTTTTTCTAATTTTTTTAATTCCCCCGTATGGAACGCATCTCATCCGTTGTTATCTATTTATTATTTTAAATACGCTGCTAATAATTTACTTACAAAATTTCTATTTATATAAAAAATTGATGTGGAATAAAACTCCTCATCATATTTAAGATTTTTGCTCATCTCGTCTAACTATTAGTAGGCCGAGGTCATCGCCTATAGGAGTTTGTAGGTTTTTCTCTTTTTTAATTAATTTTAAGTATTGAAATTGTTGCTTAATGTTTTAGTTGCTCAATATTTTATAAAAATTGTTATTCATTAATTTTAGAATCTTAAAAAAATCTATGATACATGTTTTTAGATTTCAGCATTTTAAATTTTAGTTAGTTGTTTTGAAATTTTATGACTTGGTAAAACATATTTGATTATGCTTATTTTTTTCATTTTTTTTTAATACAAGATCTAATAGTTTCTAGGATACTCAATCCTTATAATAGGTACAATACCCACATAAGAATTTTAGCATAATATACATGTTCTAAAATTTACAAACAATATTTTATGTAGTTGATATGTCTCTATGATTCAAAATTTATTATAAGGAACAGCTTTATTATTATACTAAAACGCAACTTCATGATCATATATATACAAAATATATCAGTAATTACAAAAGTTATATGTTATTAATGCATAATTTGATTGTCCGATCTATAAGCAAATTTAGAGTCTATCGAAGTTCATTTCACAACTGTCATAGGCCGATCTTGGTCGCCACACTTGCTCAACCCTAAAGCGTCAAACTCTATAGAATTGTGTCATAGGGGCATTTCCAACAAATGTTCCTTTGATGTTTAGGTTACTTTTGAGCTTGAATGATTCAACCAATGACTCGAATAGCAATAGAAAGTTTGAGTAGAGGTAACCCGAGGAGCCCTTTTATAGTGGATTCCATGGTGTTGATCATGTATTGACCATATATCGATCATGTGTCAATCTCTTATTGATCATGTGCTAACTACGTACCATATGATACTGAGGTGACAATCACATGATGTTGAGGCGACATCCATATCAATTTTTCTCATAACACATGAAAATATTATCAAAAGGTTTTTTTTTTTTGTAGATCTTTTAATTTTCCTTATAATTTCCTAGATCTTGTTATTCATATACAGGTCCTCCTAATTATCATATGCTATGTATGTCTCTCCAAATTAAATTGATTGAGTTTTTTTGACATTATATCATCACTAATAACAGCATGTTTTTATATCATTTTATCGTCAAAATTAATCTCTATCTTCGCGTTTATATTGGGAACAAAAATCATGTGCAAGTCGAGTAAAATTCTTAAGTCGACTGTTTAAGCTTTTGGATTAGTCCACTTAACATGTAGAGTGCCATGACAGGTTTGACACAATTTCAATGGCTAAAGATAATTGCATGCACAAAATCTAGAATGATGTTTATGGTGTTCTGGTTTTAATCTTCTTCTCTTCATTATGTCATCCATGGTTCGAATGAGAAGCTAATATTGTTCAGAACTTGTTCTTGGATTATTTAGCTTACAAAGCACGATCGAGCGTTATAGAGAACGAACGAAAGAAGACACCAGCAGCACAACAAGGGAACAAGATGCAAAGGTCCATCATTCCTTTCTTCGTACCTTGGAAGGATATAAGCATATTAAGCTTATTTTTACTGTCTTCACGGAAGAATCAACTGCAACAAAGTATATAGGAAATATGAAGCAGTACTAGTTGATAACAGGAAACATAGGATTTAGACATCTTAGTAGGATTAGATCTCTGTCAGGGTAAAAGAAACTTCTTACAAGAATAAATTTTCATGTAACAGCGGAAATACGAAGCAGAAAGCTTGTCAAAGAAGCTTGAAGATCTTGAAGCCTCCAAACAGTGAGTTCTACTGCGATCATCTGCTCATCTCATATTGCTGCAATGAGTAGCAAACTTGTCAAGGCATAAAGTTTGTCTTCGCAGGAAGTTCTTGGGTGAAAAACTAGACTCATGTTTATCGGATGAACTGTATGAGATAGAGCGTAAGATAGAGAAGAGCTTGCGTAGCATCAGAGCAAGGAAGGCGAGTCATGACTCTTTTAACTTTTACTGCAAGTTCTTCTAGTTATGCCATGGAAGTACGTACATGCTTACGTTCATTCATTTTCAGTATCATTTAATAGAAGAGCAGATCGCAGAACAGAAGGAAAAGGTATATATTGCTTGAAGCCATGTTATGGACTAAGTTTTGCATGCAATTTTGGAGAACTTTTTATTGATACAGTTCGATCACATCATTCAGGTGAGTTCTTTGGAGAAGGGGAACGAATTACTCCATGAGAAGGTGTGTTCTAATCATCATAAGCCTTGTTTGGTTTTCATTATATCTTTCCTGGGTGTACGTGTGCGTGTGCGTGTGCTGGGAATACATCTTTTACTTCCACTGTTCTTAGTCTCACGTCGAACTACATATCACACAACCACATATATCTGATTTCATCTTTTCTGATGTTTGAAGGTGAATCAACTGCGTCGGCTGCCGTCAACTGTTGCCGAGGAAGTTCCATCACCTGGCACACATGGCCAGCAAACCGAGGCAGACACACAGCTGCGCATTGGTCGCCCAGGGATGGAGACCCACGACATGTGGAAAGGTTATTAGATTCGGACATGTTTCTGGGATCATCATGTGTCTTGCACACAACTAATTACAAACACTTGTTTACTAATCAGTAACATCATGTCATGACTTAATTATATGCTGAATAAATTTTCTTATTATTATTATTGAAGTGTATCAATCTATTCGTTTCCGTGAGAAAGTCAGGGAGGGAGAACGAAGTGAGCAATGGGAAGATAAGGAGAAAGAGAGAAAGATACTAAAGAATTATCGTCGCTATTCAATGATCATCATTTTCAACGATCAATCACCGACGGAGAAAAGAGGAGGATCGATGAAGACAAAATCAAACAACTATAAACTTACGATTAGGAATTGTATACATGCTGCACATTAGGGCTAAGGGAATGAGCTATTACTATTGAATGATGATATGTTTCATTTAATTTAATTAAACCAAAATGGTTCTTAATTCACCCATAATCGATTCAATTAAGATTCATCTAGTCTAATTTAAATCAACAAAAACTTGACTCATTTAATGTTTTGACTTAGTGTCTTGATCCACGTATTGATAGAGGGTAGGGAATATTCTATCCGTCATCATCCCGTATTTATATGGATAATATAAAAATATGATGAGTTTCTATAGATATAATTGAGATCCTTAGTTTTAATTATTATAATACAGTGTAAAAATATTATAACTTGTTCATCATATAGATTATCTATACAAAAATAAAGAAAAAAATAACTAGTTAGGAATATTTTGTTTGTCAAAAAGAACATTATTTGAAAATTCTAGAAATGGGAGACATTTATAAAAAAAATAAAAAAATTACTTTTATATTTCCTAATTTTATTTAAGAATAATTAAAAAAACTCTAAGTTTTAAAATTTTTCACAAAGCGCTTCATGTTTAAAATTTTTAATTTTTTTCTAAAACATCTCTAACCCCATGAAAAGATAATTTTATCATTGTTATTTAAAAAATTCATGTCCCAACCCTAACCATGTTAACCATAGCCTCGTCTTCGCTCTGCCCATTGGTCTGACTGAGATTACTATGACTCCATGTTCGGGTGGCGAGGGGGGTACGATCGACAAGGTAACGATGCGACCAAGGATTAAGCGAAAAACGATGATCGACAAGAATATGATAATTATTTTATTAAAAAAATATTTTATAAAAAAAATTAAAGTTGAAATGCTATATGAGAACTTCTAAAATTTAAGATTTTTTTTTCCGAATATTGACCCTTTATTTAATTACATCTGCAGTCTAATTCAAGGACTCGGCGACAAAAAGGAAAAGAAAAGGTCAGCTTCCGTATTTAGCAGGATATATAGAAATTGAGAACGAAAGGAGAATAAAGCTGGCAAAACTGAAACCCAAAGAGTACAAAATATCCCATCACTGCACATATCAGCAGAAATGAAAGCTGCCACAGCTGCTGCTGCTCTTCCTCACAGTTCAGCAATGGCAGTGGTCCACTCCTCACCCCCAACTCATCCTACCCTACCCTTCCTCCTGTCTCTTCCATACGTCCAGAAACAAAATTACAGCATAATGTCATCAGCAGTTGCTGTTATAGCTGAAGATTTGGTGCACCGCCGTCGCAATCTCATCCGCTGTCCCCAGCTTGCACTCTTCCTCCATCTGCACCGTCAAGACAAGCAAAAGGCATCAGCTCGCTGGAACCGAGCATGGCATGACGACCTATGATCGATCATTGAAACAGGGAGCGGCCGACCGACCAACCTTGAGGTTGAGGGAGTAGAGGATGGAGGAGGGTCCGAGGGAGGTGATGTTGAGGTGTAGGATGGAGAGACGTAGCTCCTCCATGGCCGCAATGGCCCGCACTAGCTGCCCCCGCTGCCGCCGTCCGGCCACCTTAAGGTTCACGTGCCCTTGGACTAACGTCGCTTCCACGTCCACCCCTGTCCAATCCTCCTGATGCGCTTCTTCTCCGTTGCCGTCGCGCCGTCGCCGCTGGGACTGCGAGTAGCCCGTGTACTGTGGCGAGATGAGGAAATCGTCGTGCAGCAGGGGCAGGGGCGCACGGCAGGGGTCGTCATCGTCGGAGCTCGATCGAGCGAAAGCCGATTCCCGGAACCGCTTCTGGGCTCGGAGGGAGAGGAGATGCTGCTCGAGCTCCTTTACGAACTCGATGGCACCACCTATGATGGACGCCTGGTCGCCCTGTATCAGTTAAACCCGTCCGATGAAGGAAGCGTACCGGAAGATGGTTCTGGGGAAATGAGAGTTATAAGGCTTACGCGTTGGACGAAGGAAGGGGGCATCAGGGAGCGGAGGGTGGCGAGGTGGACGTTCATGAGATGGCGGCGGTTGCGCTCCACTGCTATGTGGGTCATCCTTTGGCTTTCCGCCTCCTCCGCGCTCTTCGAAGCCGACGCCGGCCGCTGGCGTTTCCTCTTCCTTCGTTCGTTGGAGCCAGCCACTGCCGGGGATCTCATGGGACCAGTCGCGGCCGCAGTCGCCGGATCCTCGCGATGGACTATACCTCTCGTCTCGGACTCGGATACGTGGGTGACGCAGCTCTCCAGCTGCTCCACGGCACAGGACCGGTCCATCTCGGCCATCCGCAGTTGCCTGAAGTGGCATTGGCTCTGCATCCGGCGGAGCAGCTGGAAGTTGGTTTCTTGTGGGTAGGAGGTGAAGAAACGTCGGTGCTGATACTGTTGAAGATGGAGCTGGACTTCCTCTTCCACCATCTCTTCCCCTGCTTGCATGGCTCCTTGGAGCAGACGAAGGACAGGCGTTTGATGTGAGGACAGGCTCCCACAGCTCATTTTAAGATGATCAGAAAAGCTCGCTGTCGCTGCTCCTGGTTCTACGCACTTTGAGCTCAACCCATCCCCAGCCGACTCCTTGAGGAACGAAGAAACCAAAAGGGATGAAGAGACACAAACACATTTAAGATCAGGCAACAAAATAAGAAGCTTTTATCTGTGTTACAGATAGTATTTTTAGTAGTCATTACATGCATCGCATTGAATGAAATGTCCAGTACTGCGGCTATATCCACCGCTCTTCGACCCAATAAATAAGTCTTCTTCAAGCAGATGTTGACTTGAGGAAGAACGAAAAGGAAAGAAGAGATTGGGATACGTGAAGGGCTTACAGGAGAGTGATCGATGGATCCTCGCACCCGCTCCATGGAAACAGCAGCAGATACAGCAGCCACAGATGCGAATCTGACTCTCGTTGATCTTATCCTACCTTAAAAGTCTCTCTCCTCCCCCTCCTCCTCCTACCACATCTCTTCACAGTCGCAACATTGTTCAGGCTTCTCTCTTAGATTCACCCTCTCACCACTTGCCAGGAACAATAAATGCTTGCAGAGGAAGTATCAAAATCATTAAGAACTCTGGTCCTTCCCCTCCTTCCCATCTCGCACGTTTGGACTTTAGGATGTAAAATAAATGCCGGTGAGAAGTCAGGGATGCAACAATTGACTAAAGGATAGTGAGGGGAGCTGAAACAATCACAAAATAATACAGAGCACAATCTAAGATGGCTACCGAAGTGAGAAACTAAGCAACCATGAGGTGGTGTATAAAACAATGAAGAACTTATTCTACTAAGGAGAAAGAGTTGGGGATTTAGAGGCCATGCATTATTGTTTGGGAGGCAGATTGTCCAGCAGCGGCGACACAACCCGGCCACAGTCGTGCGGTCATCTGCCTCCTCTCTCTCTCTCTCTCTCTCTCTGTGTACATCCCTTGACCTTGCTTCTGGATCGAATTATGGGTAATAAAGGGTCCGATAATAGGAAGACTTGTGGTGTACGATGGAAAATAAAACAAAGAGAAAACAGTGCTTCGTAGTGTCTCAAATAAATGGCAGCTTTAGGAGAAGGGAAATGAACTTTTTATCGTGTCAGTGAACTTTGAGGAGATGGAGGGTGAAAGCTAGCACCGAAGCCAACGTACCACAGGCTCCGTTTATGGAGACCAGTATCGCATTACATGCTTAGTAGGAGAGAAGCGTAAAGTGTAAGCCCGTAAGAGAGAGAGAGAGAGGTTTTGGATTATGCTCGGTCGTCGCCTTCGCCTTCATCCGCTTGTGCTTGGAACCACGCATCACGGACAGAGCGAGTGACATCCACACACACTTTCTCTGATGAGTGTCTTACCATCACAAATGAACAATTGGGTATTTGTTGGGATCAGCAAGATCTCATTGTTGTAAAATTCTTTCCAAAATGCTGTGGACATCAAGAAATAGTAAAAGAGAGAGAGAGAAAAAAAAATTAAAACTAGAAATTTATATCAAATATATAAGTTATAATCTTTCAAACCCCAATAATACAATTTATGTCTATTAATTTTTTTATATTATTTTAACCTAATTTTTTTAAAAATATTCATATCATATATAAATAAAGAAAAAGGTGTTATGTTAGCTTGATTGATAAAATTTTTATCTTTCTTAAAAGTGATAAGAGTAAAATCCATGTTGGCCTATCTTATGCTAAACTCAAGCTTTGTAAGAGGAAAAGGATTATTAATTTCTTTAACACAATCTGAAACCAAAAATGATTAATCCTAGTACATATTAGCAGCATCAATACGAGCAATCTTGTATATCCATGCAAATTCACAGCAATTGTTTGCGGAACATTTGGTAGCATAAGGCACAATAAAGGATACTGATCAACTTTGATACGACGAAGACAGATACAAGAGGTGAAAGGTGGAAACAACAAAGGATCTATGATTCGAAACAACCTAACAAAATGCCATTAACATCACGATCTCACTCAATTGATCTGCATTGCTAAGTGGTGAGCTCCATTGTTTGTCTTGAGAGCTTTGACTGCCTTTGCTCTCGACACACCAGCCTGTGTCATGACGAGACCGATGTCTCGAGGTTCCAGTCCACTCTCATCAATTTCCTCCTCGTCCTCCCCGGTTGGTGCACCAGACAGCAGATACACCTTGGCCGCCATGTTGCTGAGGTCTGGAATTCTGAATTGTTGAGCAGCTGGGAGCTCAAATCCTCTATTTTTGCCTCTCCAAAGATGACTTATGTATCAGAGTTTGGATTCTTGAAGACATCAGGCTTTGAGGTGACAAACAATAAGGAATAAATAAGTAGGACACACAATTTACACAGTAAA